CTTTTCGTGGCCAATTTTTTCAGAAGTGGATGGCCCCATCCTTTTTCCCAGTCTGTCTTAGTCTGCAAGCTCCACTGAACCTGTCCACCATAGACATACCTGCTGGTATTTGAAATACCAGTGGCATAGCATCCAACCTCATGGCAACATGTAAGCCACCACAGTATGACAAACTGACAGACAAGTCTGGCTATTTCATATAAATGAGATCATATAATATTTATTCTTTTGAGATTGACTTATTTCATTCAGCACAAAATTTTCAAGGTTCATCTATGTCATAGCATGTATCAGAATTTTATTTCTCTTTATGACTGAATAATAGGACCTTGTATGGATATAAGGAGCCCTAGTGGGAGCTCTGGTGGCATAGTGCCTAAGGCCCTTGACTGTTAACCAGAACGCTGGAGCTTCAAACCCACCAGCCACTCCTGGGAAAGAAGGTTGGACAATCTACTTCCACAGTGATATCGCCTTGGAAACCCAAGGAGGGGTAGCTAAGAGTCGGATCTGACTCGACACCAATGGGTTTTTTAGTGCTGCAGTGGTTAAGAGCTCAGCTGCTAACCAAAGGTTGTCCTTGCAAACCCACCAGCTATTCTGCAGGAGAAATATGTGGAAGTCCACTCCTGAAAATATGTAAAGCCTTGGAAACCGTATGGGGCGGTTCTGCTCTGTCCTATAGAGTTGCTATGAGTCTGAACTGACTCAATGGCAAGGAGTTTTGTATGGACATACCGTGTTTTGTTTACCCATTCATCTGTTGATGGAAACTTTGATGTTTCCTCATTTTGTCTACTGTGAACAGTGCTGCAAGGAACACTGAACATTGGTGAGAAGTGGCCACTCTTCAGGTGGGCTCTGGGGGCTCCCTGAGCCATGCTTGTTTTGTAACTTACCCCTGATTTCTGGGTGCACCTCAGCTTTCCTCAAAGGATGGCCTGTCTTCAAAGCTGGAACAGGAGGCGGGGTCAAGGTAGAATCAGCTACCTTACCAAGTTTTCATTATTTTTTAAAAACAATATTCTTTGGAAAACACTCCAGAATAAGATGCAGAATGACCATGCTCCTATGCAGTAGGACTCTTTCAAAGGACCACAGTAGGCTTACAATGTGAATTCATATTGCCCAGGTCTGGGAAACAACAATTTGCGGGTCCTGAAATGCATGAAATCCCCCTTCTCTCCCACCCAGCAGTGGTCATGTGTGGGTAGAAGTTGGATGGTCCTCACTGGAGGAACACCTCAGCTCATCCCCACCAGGAATGCCATGAGTTTGCAGAGAGGTCAGGGTGCCTTGGCCAGCCTGAAGGTGCCTTCCAAATTCTTCTCGGTACCTGTGTGGCCTCCAGTCACCTTGGGCTAGTCTGAACTTTCTGAAGACAAGGTGGACAAGATTTTGCAGACTCAAGGGCTCTCCTGGTTGTCTTTTTTGCCTTTTTTTTTTAATTCATAGATTTTATTTTTTTAGAGCAATTTTAGGTTTACACAAATATTGAACAGTATTCCCAAAAACTTCCTCTCCCCCTTCTCACATTTCCCCTATTACTAACATCTTGCATTAGAATGGTACAATGGATGGACCAATATCAATACATTATTATTAACTAACATTCATAGTTTATATTAGGGTGCACATAACATTAGGCTGTTGTACAGTCCTGTGGGCTTTGACAAATGCATAATGGCATGTATCCACCATTACAGAATTGTCCAGAATACTTCCTAAACTCAAACTAACTCACTGCCATTGAGTCGATTCAACTCATAGAGACACCTCCTTGGGTTTCCAAGGCAGTATCTCTATAGAAGTAGATTGTCCAACCTTTCCCCTGAGGAGTGGCTGGTGAGTTTGAACCACCAGCCTTCTGATTAGCAGTCAAATGCCTTAGGCACTAGGCCACCAGAGCTCCCAGAATACTTCCACTGCCCTAAAAATCCTCTGTGCTCCCTTCTACCCACGACTGCTCTCCCCACGGCCCATGGTTACCTTTTGATCATCTTAACAGAATTCTGGGAGCCGTGGAGAGGTAGTTTTTGGTGCAGCTCACTGAGGAGGACCTGAGTGGTCCAGGAATCCATATGGGATCATGGTCTCCACTTTCTGCTTCTCCATCAGTGTCAGATCCTAGAGCCAGATTCCTGGTCTAGCCCCTTCTATTTCCTACACATGTCAAGGCTGAGTTCTGGGAGGAAGGTGGTCTGGCAGGAGATAAATTTATGTTTCAGGAGCTCCTTGGTGGTTGTCCTGTGGCCTGAGGACCACCTCTGGAGTCAGGAAACCCTGCCCAATCTCTTAAAAGAATTCACTGAGGTGACCCTCCATAGTAGGACGGGGGAAGGGGGTGTTGTTCTTGAGGCCCAGAGAGAACACTCATAGGATGGAGGTCAGAGTTAGGATGCTTCTCAAGTGCAGTTTGTTGGATTTTACTGTAGGGCCCAGATTCCCACATAAAATCCTAGACCACTGCTGGATGACCCCAGTGTTGGAAAGGAAGGTGTCCCCTTGATCATCTGACCAAATCTGGCAGCTTCACACCCCCTTGCTCCAAGGGGTACACGCTAGATGCTTTGATTGCTGTGTGGATCTTCTGTTGGAATGTGGATAATCCAAGCCCTTCAGAATTCCCCTTGAGCGATGTCAGACTCCTCCCAGGCTCAGGTTTTAGCAGGTGTAGGTGGAGTCACCGCCCAAGCCTCTCTACAATCCACACTTTGATGGAGAGGACAGTTAAACTGGCCTAATGCACAGAACTCCCAGTCTTGTGCTCCACTTCTTTCAGGCTGATGGCCATAAAAGCCACCACCTTCTGGGAGTAACTGCCATCTTCTTAGATACCTTTCCCAATCTGACCAAGTGTGGGAACAAGTTCTCAGGATCCACCTGGGAATGCTAGTGGGAAAATGCCCTCCAGGGAGACAAGTCATCTTTCTGCAACTTCAAGGAGCATGTCAATTCTTCCTTTGATGCTCAGATCTTGGAGCAACCTGAGGTTATGAGATGACTGGATCAACTGGGATGACAAAGGGTAGCAGTGTAGTTGGCCCAGCCTCTAAGACCCACTGCTCACACTATGTCCTTGCACTAATCATTTGCCCAGGGAGCTCTGGCGGCATAGTGTCTAAGGCATTCGACTGCTAACCTGAAGGCTGGTGGTTCAAAACCAAAGGAAGAGGGGGCAATCTACTTCCGTAGAGATACCCCCTCGAAAACCCAAAGAGGGGTCACTATGAGTCGGAGTCAACTCAACGACCATGAGTTTGGTTTTTGGTTTGGTGCACTATTGATTTTGTAATCAGTACCACCTCCTAGCACACAGGCATGGACCAGGTTTTATTCCCTGGGAAGGTAATGATCCTTCCTGAGCTTCCTGTTCACGACAAGCCGCCTTGAACCAGCTGTGTGACTTGGGGCAAGTCAGGTGCCTTCCTTGCTTCCCAATCTGAAGCTGAGGGAAGTAGAACAGCTGAACTTTGTCCATAGTTTTCTAAGATTTGTTGTCAGTTCTGATTCATAGGGAGCCTGTGGGACAGAGTAGAACTGTCCCATAGGTTCCCTAGGCTATAATCTTTATGGGAGCAGATTTCCACATTTTCTTCTCCCATGGAGCAGCTGGTGGGTTTGAACTATACATTTTTTGGGTCGTAGCCAAGTGTTTAACCATTGTGCCACCAGGGCCCCTTTCTATGATCAACCTGCTTTAAACTTCTGAGTTTAACAGGTCTGCCTCAAGCAAGTATACTTTATTTTTGCAAGCCCACCCTCATCTAGCCAGGGAAGTCCCCTACGGGGGGGAGGAGGACATGACTCCTCTCCACAGAGCTAGTACCTGCCACCTAGATCCTGGCATGGCTCCAGCTCTAGGCCCTTAGCCAAACATCCAGGGTAGGGTGGTGTGTGTGTGTGTGTGTGTGTGTGTGTGTGGTTTCTTAATACTTGCTGGTAATCATGGAAGTCTCTGTGAGAAAAGGTATTGCATTTGAAAACAGTCCAATCTTACAGGCAACAGCAAACCAAGTTCCCACTTGGATAGGTTTCTCTGTCAAATCAGAGAGAAGTCCTGATCTGTTTTTTCAGAACCCCTCCAGGGGGCGCAGAGTCAGCTGCTCCTGTGGGTGGAAAGCTGTGGCGGGACAAGACTCCCCCACAACTACCCCAAGAGGCCCCTGGTCCTTTAGACGGTCCTGCTGGACTTGTCCATCTTGTTCAGTAGATTTCCTTATGTAGTATGACCACAGCCTCTTCGGCTGAGCACTCCCTGGGGAAAGGACATCTATCCCCTGAGGGTGAACGAAGTAAGGTCCTCTTTTCCTCCAGGGCAGAAATGAGAGCCAGAGACAGACCAACAGTCCGCCCTGCTGAGCCAACAGGAGGCTGGAGCCATACGAAGCGCATTAACTATTAATAATTTCCAGTTGTTTGCTCGCAGGGTTCGCCTGGCTCCCCCTGGCCTCTGTAGGCGGGGGTTCTGCTTCGGCTGCCCCCCGACCGCCAGGTCTAGAGAGATTAAGGCCTCTCAGGCTCGCTGGGAAAGGGCGAGGAGACACCCTCTGCAGAGGCCCTGGCGACAGCGGGGTCTCTGTGTCCACCTGCAGCAGGGTGGGGAGGCCCGGCCGGGGGCGCCTTTCCCGCCTGCGGCGAGGCCCGCCCGCGCCCCCGTGCGCTCCAATCAGCCGCCCGGGGCGGGCTCGGCGGACAGGCGGAGCGCA